GAGGACTGTCCTCTGAAGATGCCGGCCACAGAGACTGGCGAAATGTTAGGAAGAACAACCTTCAGAACACGGCCAAAGAGCCTGAAAAACCAACAACCATTAGATCTCGGCCGTGAAAGCCTTCGCGAATATTTTATGTTTGTTTTCTCACTGAATAATTCTTTTGGCTTTTAACTTTACTTGTATTTTAATTATCATGATTGTCCTTGTGTCTCTTTATAGGAGGAAGGCGACACAGAAATTTTATGCATACATACAGATGTACATGTGTGTATGTGCATGTGTGTATGTATGGTGTTATATACAAAAAGATATATAAAAAGAAGGCCACAATGTGTTTTTTAAAATTACAAAACACCTACAGCCAGGGAGATGAGAGACTCCTTCCTTCTTCCCTCCCTCCCTTTTCATTCAGTAGCTTATTTGGTACACAGCAATGAACAGGAGAGATGGAAAGAGGACATAGTAGCATAAATTGCAATTTACCCTCTAGACCTCTCCAAGAGCTGTCAGAGTTGCTCAGTGTGATGATTACTTGGGCTTTTTGTCCCATTCAAAGCCACAATGCCAAGCGTGAGTGAGTGAATTGTTTATTTAAAGATCAGCAGAGGACAATTCTGCTGGCAGTTGGCCTCAGTTTCAGCCAGAATCATACTGGAAATAGCGAGGTCATTTTTAATAGAAATTAGTCAGCCACTGAAAAAAAATAAGAATAATAACCATAATCTTAGCCTCCTAAAAAAAAAATTTTTTTTTTTTGCATATGTCAAGACGTGCTTTGGTCTTGTTTTACAATCGTGAAGACATGCTTGGCGAGGATGTTGAGGGAGAGCTGTTGCCGTCTCAAGAGGAAGACCTTCCAGGGGCAGGGGCTCCCTTGCTGTGCATAGCATGCCTGCTGCTCCCCATGACTACCAAACACAGACTTATAAAAAGCAACAGGAAATTATGTAAACTTTGTCTATGTGCATAATTATATTTCAAATTTATTTACACCCTACAATTCAGCTTTTCTTGGCACAGGACTGTAGCTTTTTCACACTCAATACACATGCGCCCTATGAATTCATGCATTACTCACCTCCCACTTCCTTCAACAAAGAAGAAAGGTAGTGCTTGCTGCCTCTGTCATTTTCCTTCCATGAGTCGGAAGAGCACAGGCTCTTGTCCACCTAAAGGCTCTCCATGAGAACAGGAGCCCTATAAAACCGGTGATCTTGCCCACATGGGAAGCCTCCACATAAACAAGAACCTGCCCTTTTCAGAGTTTAAGCAGGATTCCTTTGCCCTGCCCAACTCAGAGGCTTCAAGGGAGAGGCGGTGTGTTCAAGTAGGTTTAACAGTAACAAGGAAGGGAGGTGTGGATGGCCTTCACCATGTTGCTGAGAAAATCATACTTTCAAATATTACTGAACTCCTTTGCAGCAGCAACGGTCAGGCTGGCATGCAAAATGTGCTGGACAAACAAACATGTAGTGACAGTAGTACAAGGTATGGCAGCCGACAGCACCTAAACGGGCTGGGGGTGGGGGTGGTTTCAGCTCCTTGCTACCTGCTGCTGCTTCCCACTTCTCTCTCTCTCTCCCCCATCTATCTACACAGTCATACAGAGTGTGAGGCCAGGAGCTGAAGAGGACGGGAATACAAGCTGTGTCCTGACACCGGCATGGAACCAGTCAGAAAGAGCCTGGCTGGACACAGCTTCAGCCTGAGGTGGTACAACACGCTGGCCCCTAATGGCTGAGCCACCACTGAAAACGTTCATACGTCATATTAAAATATCATAAAGAGCACATCTGAAGAGAGGGTGTTGGCGTCACATGCCTGGAATTTTTCGATGTTGCTAAAATCAAGGGAAGGGGGAAGGCATGTCATCTTTCTTAGCTTAGAAAGAGAGCTAAAGAGAGGTGCTTGTTTCAAACTGCAACATTAAGAAGAAGCAAGGGAACAGCTACTTCCCTCATGATTCGTAACATTATTTCTTACATTATATCGGTTTGCTCCTCCCCATTGTATCAGCACAAGCCTGTAAAGTAGGCCAGGTTGAGGGAAAGTGACTAACCAACACCATCAATATCATAAAGAGCACCATCAAGTGAGTTTCGTGGCTAAAGGGGATTTGAACCCCCATCCAGTACACTAAAACAATACTGTAAATGAGCACCCAAAACAGAGCGAGGGGATGCACAGCCTTTGGGTGATTACACTACATCCCAGACCCAAATCTGCCCTAAATGGGCATTTACCGGAGCTAAGTCAACCATTAGGTTAGGATGTTAGCACTCCTATCCTAATGGTTGACTTAGCTCCAGTAAAAGTCTCCTCTTAGCCAAAATTTCATTACATATATAAGGATGGCAAGGTGAAGTTGAATTGAACTTAGGGAATAATTTCTGCCAGTAAGAGGTCTTACTTGTTTTTAACTCCTGATGCTTCAGTATAGCCATGGCTCCACACAGCTGGTGCTCCTGATGCATCCCCGGCCGAAGGCTGGTCAATCTTGAAGCAACGGATGTTGCTATAATGAAAAAAGAAAATCTCTTAAAAAATGCTTCAATCAGACAACCCCAATACATCATGTTTGGCTTATTCCATTCTATTTGTTCTACTTAAACATCACTTTTTAAAGCTGCATTTAGCAGACTGTGGATGCGTCTCTGAATAAAGGAAAGAAGAAACAAATGGTTATCTGTATTCTCGAAGGTATTCATGGCTAGGATACAATGGTTGTGGGTTTTCTGGGCTGTTTGGCCGTGTTCTTAAGGTTTTTCTTCCTAACATTTCACCAGTCTCTGTGGCCGGCATCTTCAGAGGACAGGAGTCAGAACTCTGTCTGTGCTCTGTAGCAGTTTGTTGGATAGTTGAGTATTTATAGCTGTGGGGTCAGCTTTTGTCCTTTTCAGGAGATTGGGTGATTATGGTAATCAGTGTGTTTTCTTGTGGTTGTATTGTTGTGATAAGGGGGAGAGATGATCTGTCACTCTGATTGATGGGTGTTGTTAACTAGTCTTTTGTGTGCAGTGATCACTGGTCCTTGTGGCTGGGTAGAGTTCGTTGACCTTTTGCAAGCTGTACTTTTCAGTGCTGGGAGCCAGGCTTTGTTGAGTTTTAACTTTCTTCTTTTTTGTTGAAGCTCTGCTGGTGTTTTTGGATTTCAATGGCTTCCCTGTGCAGTCTAACATAATGATTGCTGGTGTTGTCCAGTACTTCAGTATTTTGAAATAGAATTTCATGTCCAGCTTATTTTAGGGCATGTTCAGCTACTGCCAATTTTCCCAGTTGTTTTAGTCTGCAACGTATCTCATATTCTTTGATTCAAAGAAAAAACCCACAACAACCAAAACGTTATCTATTTTTGCCATTCAGCTTTTGGCAGGGGGGAGGAGGTTGCCAAATATAATAGAATAGAAATACAAATACAAACAAGACCAAGTCAATTAGTTGTCTGGATACTGCACTGAAAAACAGAGCTGTACAAGATGAAAAAGATTCCTCCCCCCTGGTTTTCTGGGATACACACCTTATATTCCCATCATTTCCCTATTTTTTTTTAGTATCTTTCACATAGAATTATATTTCTGACATTTGGCAGGTAAAAGCTTGCAGTGTATCTATCTTGTTCACGTGCAGCTCTGACCACACAGCGTTGCTTATGCCAGTACGAAATGCACATGACTATTTAAAAGCCAAGGAAGCATTAGAGCAAATGGTTGCCTGTCTTGAGAGAGGGCAGGACAGACTTTCCTCTGAGCATGCTGATACAGTTAATTGTACAAGCTATCTATAGATTAAGAACTTATTAACTAGATTTTTCTGCTTTCACATTGAAAAAGAATATATAGCACAGTGCAACCTTTACTTAGGGTTAAGTGATGGCACGCAACAACAATGGCACTAATCTAATCTTTTATAACAAAGTCACTTCCTCCTTGCTTGGCTCCCCACTCTTTCACCCATGCTCTTATCTACACAACTGTCAAGATGTTTACACAATGAACTCTGCAGACTGTACCTATATCAATCTCATCCCAACCCAATGCCCTTTTCAAATAAACTATATTACCCAAGAAAAAGTTAACCTTTGGTCTGAATGTTCAGGCATCTGAAACAACAGGCAACTGACCTTCGGAAGAAACCAGCCCATTGTGGCAGCTGTGGAGTATGCCCAGATACATGACCTAGGAACAGGGTCTGAGGGGCATAGGGCAAGTACTGGGAGCAGGGGGTAAGTATTCGGCAGTGGGCAGCACAGGAGGCCCACAGTGGGCCCAGTGGACTTTCAGGAAGGATCTCAAATGAAAACAGCAGGAAGGCTCTGATCTAAGCAACAGTCTTGTGGTGACTGTAATTCATACAGGGCGTGTTTAAACAAGATCACAAGAGGGCTCAAAGGTAACACAAAGATGTTTACAAAAAATGAGGAAAGTGATCTCTGACACACCTTCAGAAGAAAAAAAAAACTAAAAGATATGAACGTACATACACCTCCCCTTCAAACCTCATAGCATTCAAGTAAATTTGGAAAGCAGTAAAAAATTTCCAGAAATATTTGACTCTGATACAGGACATTATTGTGCAGTTCAATAACACATTAGAAGAACAGCAGCAAGTTATCTCCTTGGGCATTAATAAATTTGATTGAGGGAGAGCTTTGTCACATCTCAGCCTGATCTTGGGAGTTATGAATTCAAACTGTGCAAAAGGAAGACGCTCACATCCTCGTGCTTCTTTCTGGTGAAAGCCACACAAATTTTCACTATGAAGAAAGTGGATAGGCATGTCTATATAGAGACAGCATTAAAAAGTGACTTTTAAGCATTCACTGTAGAATTTTGGGAACTGTAGTCTAAAAAGCATCTTCACAAGGAACTGTAATCTAAAAACCATCTCGTACTAAGCACTGATTCTTACATTATAACTTTAGGGCTTACACAAGCAGCTTTGTCAACAGAAGAAGCAGACTTTGACAACATTGTCACTTATTGGCTTGTGAGGAAGGTAGGACTGCTGAGCCTTAAGTGCAGCACATTCAGGAGGAAAAAAAAGTTCTTTCCAAGTATAACTTGAATAAATATTTATATCTTCAGTTATACCGCCCCCACTCCTTTAAGTCTCTCTAATTTCATCTTCTTCAAAAAAAATTCATTGTTGCAGTCATTCCTAAACACTCCCTCAAGGTACAGCCAACAATGGTTATACTGGATAAAGTGTTGAACGAGGGAGACCTGGTTGTTCTGGGTTTTTCGGGCTCTTTGGCCATGTTCTGAAGGTTGTTCAGGACTCCCAAGCCAACTACACCAGAACACAAGTTGATGTCCTCTGAAGATGCCGGCCACAGAGACTGGCGAAACGTTAGGAAGAACAATTAGATCCCGGCCGTGAAAGCCTTCGCGAATATATTGAGGGAGACCTGGTTTGAATGCTGACTCAGCCACACTGTTTACTGCATGACCCCAATATTTATTTATTTAATACCTTTCTCTTCTTCACAACCTACTTCACTGAATTATTGTGAGGATTAAATAGAAAGGATTACGGGGGTCGGAGAAGAGAACCATACAGATCACCCTACATTTCTTGAAGGAAAAGCCAAATATATATTTAAAAGGTGGATCAAGTGTGGCCTCCCACATGTTGCTGGGCGGCAAGTCCCATGAGCCCTAGTAGCCAGCAGGGCCAATGATGAAGAGTGGTGGCCACATCTGGAAAGGCGACCTTTAGCTATCCCTGACATAAATGAAAGAACCAAATGAAACATCAGCAGAATCAAAGGCCGAGGCAGGAAAAGGGAAGGAAATCATTTCGTATGCATTGACTTCCTCTTCCTGAACCTCTGCTCGGGATGCGTTGAGCCTTGGACTGGGCACAACACCTCACCCTCTCCATCCATGTAGGAGGGCCCCTTACTGGCCCTCTAAGCCAAAGGAATGACAGCAACAGCTTTATGAACAGCCGTTTCCAAGATGGAAGGAACTGTTTGAGTCTCTTCTAGCACAAACAATGCAGAAACTTGCAGCACCTTAAAGACTAAGAAAATTTCATTTAGTACAAGCTTTTGCAGACTGCAGCCAGCATCTTCAAGTATCCATACCCAGGACATGAATAGATATATTTATGGGGGGGAGACCAGAAGGGGAAACGTGGGACATGGGATTGCATTGTTAAGAGCAGAAGGAAGTTAGCCAGCACCAAACAATTCCAAAATGTGCGGGAGGACGTTCAGAGCACTTTGCTCTACTACTCCCAACTTAGCCCTTGCTAACTGTATCAATAAACAAAGAGAGCAGCACGTCTTCATTCTTTGAAATGATAGACACCTGATGTTTAGACACTGGGTGTATTTTTTCTCTCTGAAGTGCTTTGTGTTCCCTTTGTCTATTGTGCAATGAAACTGGCAGTTCCTTACTTTAATAGCTCCAAGGTTTTGTGGTCCAGGGCAAGTCTGGGGTTTCCAGTTATGTCTAGTTCTTGCAACTTCGGAGGCAAGTTTTCCGGTAACGTGACTTCAGTCAGCTCATTACAGCTCAAGTCCACACACTGTAGAAGGTGGAGCAGGGAGGGGAGAGAAAGAAAACGAAGATGGGACTTGAGAAAACCCTCTCAAGGCCTTACACATTTTTTATTAAGCAAAACAGCATAAAAACAACTGACTGTTTTTCACATATACAGAAGATGAACTGGTAAACCAGTGTCTGGGTTGCACCCACTTAAGCCACAAAGTGGGAGTTCCCATAATGGAACACGAGACACATTTATACATAGGAAACTAATGATTCAGGAAAGATGAGTTTCTTCCTGACATCTCATTTTCCTTGAGACAAATGTTGGTTTGTTTCCAGGAGAGGCCTCCGTGCGAATCCCAATGACAAAGGGGTGGGTAGCCATTACAGGCTGCTTCCAAACAACTAAAAAAAAAGAAGTTCTCACACTTTAGATTATTCAAATACAACCTCTGGTAACATACCTGGGACCACCTCATCTGCTGTTTTGATGCAACTGGGTCAAAACTGCCTTCAGGCTTGGGAGCTCTGCTATACTTTACTGAAGTATCTGAACATTGTTTTTGTACTCCTCATGCAACGAAAGACTCTTTTTGTAATCCTTCATACCATCACTGGTAGTTGTTAAAAATGTGCATCCGCTCCTCCCACTTTTCATGCATTTTGCAAAACAAGTGGTGATTTGCCTGCTTGTCTATGTTATCAGGATAATTATTATCCTTAAGCTAATGGACTACATCAGTGTTAAGTGAGCATTAATTAAACATAATTTCACAAGTACATAGATCCCAAGCCATTTGGGAAGCAGGATTTGTCTTAATTTCCTCACCATAATCCCTTAGTGTAGAGCAGGCTATTAGTTTAAATCTGCATTCCAAAGCAGTTTCAAAAGCTAAGTGTGCACTGAAAGTTAGACAAAATTTAACAAGTCACAAAGGAAAAGCAAATGGATGGCAATGAACTGCAACACCACCAATGATATTCCACTAGGTCATGGACATTCCATTGGGGATACTAGAGATAGTGCTAAAAAGGGGGTGGGTGGCCATTACAGGCTGCTTCCAAACAGCTAAAAAAGGAGCTCTCACATATTAGATTATTCAAATACAAAATGCGTACTTTGATTTCGCCAAGCTGCATAACCTCCGGAAAGACTTCGATGCAATTGGAGTGTGCAATCACAGTATGCATTCGCCGACAGTTCATGATGGTGGTAGGAATGGATTTCAGCTTATTTCCACTAACATCAATTTCTTCCAACTCTTCAAGTTTGGCCATTTTGCTACAAAAAAGGAGAGAAAGGCAAGGAAATATTTTATACAGTTCTCAAAAGCACCCTCAGAATGACGGCATTAAATTGAAAGGCTGGTCTCTGTGAAACGAATTGTTGCTTGGTAACCTCTCCACGTATGGTTTGCACAAAGAGCTCCACAGACTGAACTGACATGTTCCCAATTGTGGCAGCCGGTCTAGAGAGAGCTGCGAGTGGTCCAATGCACAGCGGTTGCAGTCTTCTGTCCACTGGTGTTCTTGTTTTCGCTGGGCGAGACTGGAAACTAATCATACCCTTCTAGTTTTCCTGCTTGTAAAATGGGTGTAATAATGACTTCAGTGGGTTACTTAAGAGCATAAAGATAGAGAGAAGAATGTATTGCATATACTACAAAAACACGATAGTTTCAGGCTGAATCAAAAGATTTGGAAGCTACTTCTAAGATCATCTAGTGGAACCCCTACTTAATAGAGGTTGTATGAGGTGGGATAGAACTATAACATCTCTGACTAGTGGCCACCCAAATTCTGTTGAAACCATCACCTCCACCTTCCGGAGCAGTCTGTTCTGCTGTGAAACAGATCTTCCACTTGAGGACGTTTCTCCGAATGCTATGCCGAAAGCTCTCATCTTGCCATTTTCTATCACCTGAAGCACCAGTGAACAAGCCTGTGCCATTTTTTTTGCACAGAAACCCTCAAGGTACTTGAAGGCAAAGCTAATACGACTCAAACTTGGCTGAGAGGAAAAAAAACTCACTAGCTTCAGAAAGGGCTTTGGCTTGGTGTTCTGCTAAAGAAACCAGGTGGACTGAAGGCTAGAAAATTAAAAGAATGAGAAATGGAGATGGGGGAGGGAAGATCTGTGTATAACAGAGTAACAGAAGAAGCAGAATGATGGGAAGAGGAAAAGAGGGCAGATAAAAAGAAATGAGTTCCTTCCTTGTAGAAGTGCAAAAGAGCTAGTCAAATCTTTGCCTGTAGGTAAAATCAATGCTCATTTAACTTATATGTAGAATACATCATGCAAAAGGCTGGACTGGAGAAATCCCAAGCCGGAATTAAGACTGCGTAAGAAATATCAACAACCTCAGATATGCAGATGATAGCACTCTGACGGCAGAAAGTGAGAAGGAATTAAAGAACCTCTTAATCAGGGTGAAAGAGGAGAGTGCAAAAATGGTCTGAAGCTCAACATTAAAAAAAACTAAGATCATGGCCACTGGCCCCATCATCTCCTGGCAAATAGAAGGGGAAGATATGGAGGCAGTGACAGATTTTAATTTCTTGTGGTCCATGACTACTGCAGATGGTGACAGCAGCCACAAAATTAAAAGACGCCTGCTTCTTGGGAGGAAAGCAATGACAAACCTTGACAGCATCTTAAAAAGCAGAGACATCACCTTGCCGACAAAGGTCCAAATAGTCAAAGCTATGGTTTTTCCAGTAGTGATGTATGGAAGTGAGAGCTGGACCATAAAGAAGGCTGACCGCCGAAGACTTGATGCTTTTGAATTCTGATGCTGAAGGAAACTCTTGAGACTCCCCTGGACTGCAAGGAGAACATACCTATCCATTCTGAAGGAAATCAACCCTTAATGTTCACTGAAAGGAGAGATCCTGAAGCTGAGGCTCTAATACTTTGGCCATCTCAAGAGAAGAGAAGACTCCCTGGAAAAGCCCCTGATGCTGGGAAAGTGTGAAGTCAAGAGGAGAAGGGGACAACAAAAGACAAGATGGTTGGACAGTGTCACTGAAGCGACCAACGTGACTTTGACCAAACTCAGGGAGGCAGTGGAAGACAGGAGGGCCTGGCGTGCTCTGGTCCATGGGGTCACGAAGAGTTGGACATGACTTAATGACTAACCAACAACAACAACATCAGTGTATTGTTCCTTGGTTCTCAAAAGAGACAAGCAGCAGGGTTACACTCTGCCCTCAGCCTTGCACATGGGTATCAGTTAGACTAGGAGGCAAACATCGTACATCTCCAATTACTTGAGAATCCTGCCCCTTGAGGTTTTAGAATTGGCAGAAAGTGCTAAGGGCAAATCCATCTGTCAGCACTCTTCCTTGGTGGAGTATTTTTAAAAACACACCAGAAGGATAGGATTCCGTATCCCCTTTCCTCCTTTGATCTGCTAGCTCCAGGTAAATAGTGAGCATCAGACACTCTGCCTTTGTGTGTATAATATAAAACAGTCTTCCTCCCTGCTAGACTTCATAACCTTGAGAAAACATGCACTGTTGATTACAACCACAAATGACTATCCAGGCTAGCTGAGATATATTTTTTTGTGTATGAAAGAAATACTGGCAACATCAGACTGTTCATTTATTTTCTCATCAGATATTCACTTGTAGTTCACAGTCAGAATTCTACTGGTGATTTACATGAGTTAATAAAATCATGCAAGTCATGACAGCAAATTACCACTAACTAAGGATGTGTGGCCTGCATTCCTGATGAGGCACACAGGCAGGACCACAACTAGCATCTTTTTAATAAGCAGCGATTTGCCACTATGACTTATGCAGTTTCCCTTATGAAAACACAGACTGCCTATAGGATTTTGGCCTACATGTTTAAATATTTCCACCACTAATGTCCATGGATATTCCTATAATCACTATCTTTAAACAGACTACTTTGTAGTTCACAGTTGTGGGTTTTGTTACCATCTTTTCACAGGCCTATCCTTTTTGTTTCAGTAGCTTGTTGGATCCCTTTTTGAGCATGTATGTGTTTTACTTCAACCCTTTCTTTAAATCAACTACAGGTACTGCCTGTAAACCCTAGTGTGCAAAGCCTGTTTCTCTCTTTCTGGGCTTCTGGTAAGACTGTCAAATTGGCACGGACATGCAAAACTGCTGCATAGACAGTATCGTAACAGCTATTGCTAAATATTTTTAAACTGGAGAAGGCACTGGAGAAACAGCCACTGCCACACATTATACTAACCTTGCAGGAAAGCTCTGCAGGCGATTGTAGGCCATATGCAGGATTTTGAGGTGCGGATGTCCCGTTAGCAAGGGCACACATTTATCCGTGAGGTGATTGTTTGTCAAATAGAGTTCCTGTAAAATGCTGCGGGTCTCTTCTGAAAGGGTGGCTGGAGGCAGCATTTCCAGTGTGTTGGCAGAAGCATTCAGGTACCTCAAGCTGCAAAACAAGGCATTTGAAATTTTTTTAAATGTTGTTCTTGTTTCTTTGGCTTTATTTAAAGAATGACAAATGAGGGCAAGGAGGAAAAGCCACATGACCCATCCCTGAAGGGACAGGGCCAGCCTAGAATCACAGATGCATCAAAAGCGCCTGGCTATGAACAACCGTGTGCCACTTCATACATCATGAATTTCTTATGCACAAAGAAAGCCCACTGGTGTAAGAAACAATGCTAAATGCATGCATCTGTGAGAATGGCAGTCACACTGTACTGCAGCTGAACAGATGAATGGTCAGGCACCAAGATGACCATCTGCTTCCAAACTCATATGCACAGTACCTACCACACACTGAAGACACAACTGGCCTATATGGCTGCACCATGTAAGAAATATGCCAAATGCAAAGGGCAGCAAAGAATACATTAGCAACCAGGTTTTTGTAGGCATCATTAATTCTAAGCAACCAATGAAAGACGGTGCTTCTATAGGAAAATGTGAAGACATTTCAGCTTCCCTTTGTACTCCATATTATATTATGACAGAGTGACAGAGGTGATTTGTTCTTCTGAGAACTGTAGCTATAATTTTAAAAGGGAAGGGCAGAAGAACATGGCTTAGCAAGAAAGCATGAAAACATGTGTGCACAGAAGTCGCTGTAAGGATAGAAAACCAGACAGGGATTTCGGCACTCAGGGGCATTCACTCCACTATTTGGAAGAAAACATCCATGTCAAGGTTTCATACCTTTTCGGTTTAAGAGTATTTGAAAAAATTACGGGGGTGGGGTTTTGCAGACAATTGCCCTAAAACTATAGTATTTTTAAAATCTGCAGTATGAAAAATATGTCGTTTTTCACAATAATGGGCTAGCTCCGGCAGAGCAAGGTCACTGAATTCGTAACATTTCTTGGCAACTGACTTTTCTATTTTGCTTTTCACTTTGTAAACAGAGATATGATTATAGTAAACTTTTGACAGCAAAACAGGTTGTACGGTGCCACCATCTAGTGGCATTAATATTAATTGCTGTAAAACAGCCACCCCAATAATCAGCATCCACAGCCATGGGTTTGCATTCATGAGGCTCATACAGCTATCAGCTCACACAGTCGTTAGCTCCCCTAGCTATCTGCTACCCATGTGGGTAAGAAGTAAATTAGACATGGGCTACTCGTATTTGTATCTCCAGGAATGTGAATACAATCCACAGCACGACAGGTGCTATGGGGACCCAATTCCCTCCTCCAGAACCGGTTGGCCCATTCACCAGGTTTCTTCATCTTCATTGTTGCGCCAATCGCAGCAGGAGCCCGGTAGGGTTTCTGCACCTTCCCATGCAGCTAATCACTGATCAGCTGAGCAGGGGGACTCCCCATCCCACCTTCTCACTGAAGTGGGGAGGGGAGAACAAGTGGATCGGGGGACTCCCCATCCCACCTTCTCACTGATGTGGTGGGGAGGGGAGAACAAGTGGATTGTGTGAATTCACAGATCGCCATTCAAAGAACTATGGTTGCAGGGAAACGGCCTGTCCTCCTCCTTCATGATATCTGTGAAATCACACATACGGCTGACTGGCAAGCTCACTTATCAGTGGGTGTGATGTCACACTAGTACAGCTGAAATCACTGCTCTGCCAAATGCAGTGTCAATCTTAGCCTGGATGTCCAATTTGTCATGTTTGAGAGGCTGGGATCATGCTGCTGCCTTACAAATGTCTCTTGAGTTGAACTCCTTTGAAAAATGCAATGGGTTGTATTTGGTGCCCTCTGGACCTTGCCTGGGAAGCTTCAGCGATGACAGAGTTGGGTTGGGTATGTTTAAGAATGAATGTGGCTTCTTTGTTGGGAATCTTGTAGTGATTCTCTAACTTTGCCGGTCTTGGGGGAAAGGCAGATGGCTTTTGGCAGGATTCCTTAATATCAGGACTCCCATAAGACATGGGAGGAAGCCAGTGTGCCAATGTGAACTAGAGGAGTACTGATCTGATCACATACCAGATTTGAATGGGGACGAGGTGGCTACTGAATTTCAAGTTAAAGATTTGCCTATTCACAGGATCAAATCAGAGTAAGATGTGAACTCCTCGGGACATGAGGGTTATCATCCTCCATATCCAATTTGTGACCTGTGGCCAATATAGAGGGTGAAGTGTCAGACGGTTGAACCTCTGAGTGATCAGAGTCTTTTTCTTTCTGTAGAGGTAAATCGTGTTTGGACCTGGTCGAGGACTGAAAGGTAAGCGGATTTGATGGATGTTTTTCCGAAGTTTGCATAGTGGGGAGAAGCAGCAGGATAGCCGAGTCCTTGCATGAAACTGGGGATCAGTTCAAAGATTTACGATTCCAAGAATATTTGGGTGGCTGTGAAATCAAAGCTGCATCTCTCTTTGACTTACATTCAGATAAACATGATGACATATATGTGGAGTCCAAAGAGGACACTGATGTATCTCATTGGCTAATAGCCATCAAAATTGATGAACCTGGGACACGTGCCCACCAGGGCAGTCTATGTGGTCTGTTGACACTGAACAGGAGTGGTCTATATGAGGGGAGGCGTGCTGATGTCCCCACCTGAGAGGTTATCTAGATGCCCATGGGGAGCAATCTGTCCAGGGCCTCTTTCTTGGTGATTCAAGTATCAAATGTGGAGGGTCAACATGATGCGGCTTTGATGTTTCTGATAACCTCAAACCTGAAGCAGAATGAGGGTGCCTGGATTTGGCTGATATGGAGGGTTTGGCACTCTCTGTGGGAGCATTTTGGGTCTGATGATTTCAAACTTGAAAGCTCCTGAGACTGACAAATATACGAAGCTGACACTGGAGAGTATACAGGCAGGTCTTGACAGGGTTCCAAGGTCTTGCTGGCTGGCTTCATATGGTATGGGTTGAACAGGCGACTCTGAACCAGGAAAAAAAACACAAGTAAATGGTACCCAGGTAGAGCTGGAGAGAGTATCCAGACTTCTCTGCTAACCAGTAATGGCACTTGACTTGCCTCTTCCCTGCTGCAGACCCTTTTTCCTTAAGAGTCGAGTTCAATGATGAGGAGGACATGTGAGATTGCTCCCGAATGCAAGGCAATTCTTCCACTGGAGCAGCTGTAAGGCTGTGGCAGGGTACGAAGAGCTTGTCCAGTCAGTGCTTTGCTCAGCAAGTCAGCTTCACTTGTGAAAGTGACTGAAAATCGGCAACGACGCTTGATCATGAGACATCTCCTTTTCTGATGCCAAGCTGAGGAAGATGAAGTCATTGTGGTAGTCACTGTGCTTGTGCTTGGTTGGCGGAGTAATAGCTAGAAGGCAAAAGGGAGGGTGATCTTGCTTTGGGCAGAGAGAACTGACTCTTAGGTTTCTTGGCTTTCGTCTTCTTTAAATGAACATCAAAATCAATGGTTTTCTTTTTCTTCTTGTGCATCAAAGGGACCTTAGAGGTGGAGGGTCCAGCTTCAGTGCTGAGGCCAGGACTTGTTGGCTGCTGATTAGGACCTATTTGAGTAGCCTTTTCCTCAAAGTGTGCTGCTTATATACCGCCTCATAGTGCTTAAATCACTCTCTGAGTGGTTTACAAATTAATTCAGTTATGCAGGTTATACAGTTATGGAAGGCTGAGTCAACCTTGAGCTGGCTACCTGGCTCCGATGGAATCAAATGTAGGCTATGAGCAGAGTTCTTGACTTCAGTTTAATCACTTCATCATAAGGCTCCTGTTTAGTGATAAGTTTAATGGAGGAAGGCTTGGTCTGGGAAATGTCCAAAAGGGATTCCTTAAACGGTGATTTGCAAATTGAGGGTGCAGGAACCAAGGTCTCGATGGCCATGGCATTGACAGCCTGAACAGGTTTCTCCCATAGATAAAATTATAAGCTGGACAGCTGGTTCCTGATGGTCACCTTTGTGCACTTTTTGCAGACCTGAAAATGCTGAGGTTGATGCCCTTCACCTAAGCAATACACACACTTTGAATGTCTGTTGGTGTGAGGAATTTTATTTTTACAGCTCATGGATTCTTTGAACAGGCCTGTTGGGGCCATAAAAAGGCAGGAACAGCCGTTAACTGCACGCTGGTTAAACTAACAATGTGTAACAATTACTAAATTTACCCTCTTTTTTAGAGCCAGAAAAGAAAAGAAAAGAAAAGAAACACAACAAAGGGAGAAGGGTGATGAGGAGAGAGAGAGGGGAAAAACTATGTAGAAATAGTCTGACATACTAAACTGTGAGAAAAACTCCTTAGGTGTTCTCTCAGCAGTGGTAAGAAAGGAACTGAGGGCTGCCTTCATGGTGGGGAATATATATACACACACACACACACACACCCTGCCTGCACCCTGCACATACCCACGCATGCATGCTGGGATGAAGGGAACAAGGCCAGATAAAATGGCAAGGCAATCCGGATGTGGCCCGCAGGTCGTAGTTTGGAGACCCCTGCTCTAGAATGATGATTCCTATCATCATTCTAGATGACGTCTACAAACCCACCCACCCCCCGGTACAAACCAAGACATTTAGGGGTATGCAAAAAAATTTAAAAATAAAATAAAACAACACTGAATAATGATGGGAAAAGGCACATACTATACATCAACAATATAAGACAAGATTCAATGAGTGGCGGAGCAGATGGGAGGAGACATTAAGATTGGGACCCAAGTTGTAGGTCAGTTGTCAGACCCAGCTACGAAAATGCTGAAGGCCACACTGGCTTAGATCCCCCCCTCCATTTCCAGGCAAAGTCAATGAAAAATGACAGCTGTGGCAATCCGGAAGCTATCTGACATAGATGAAAGAAGATTGTTTGCTTGGAACAACAATAATGTGAATCTGAAACAACCAAGAATGGCAACAGTGCTCCAGTTACCACTTTAAACTATCTGCGGCCAAGCTTCACGTGCTAACCATAAAAAGACAGGACAAATATTAGCAGTTCCTTTCAGACAGACTGTATGGCCAGCTATACCAAATGCAATTTTTTTTTGCTAATTAATA